TCTGAGGACTCACACCTCTAAAAACCGGGTTTCGATACTCGAGGTGGGCACATCAGAAATAGCTCATTGTGTAATCTTGGTCTTACCGTCAACAAACAACTACCACGAGAGGTCGCGCCGGTTGTTACGGCGTGGAAGCCTGGCTTACTACATATGAAAATGTATTTGTCTTTAAAAGCATATGTTCAATCTCTATGAAAGCTTTAAAAGTTTAAATCAAGAAGCCGTTACATCTTCAGAGAGGAAATTATATATAATTCAGTACATGAACTTTCTAAAGTCCCTTTGGCTAAATTCATATACAAAATTCTGAACATAAGCATATGTCCATGTACCGAAACGCTCGATGAAAATAAATCTACCTTTTAAGTCGTTTAAAACCGACTAGTCTGTGAGCACGTGATCAGCATCCATATTAGAAGATTTTTTGGAATATAATAAAGTAGGCTTAACTACGGTCATTAATATGCGTTTAAAGTTATAATACCTCATAGAATAATTAGACAAAAACGCGCCGCATGGTAGATTTTTACGAAATTTTCGTATCACATAATTAAATTATATTTCTATCTTAGTCTTGAACGCCATAAGTTTTTTCACCATGATAAGATGGTCGTTAATTTTTTTTTTACACACCTGTAATAAAATATATTTATAAGACAGTTGAGACACGTTTTCTTAGAAAACTTATCATGTGGTTTGGTTGTTTTTAGGCAAAAACCTACAAAGTGGGCTACCTGTCCTTTGCCCATTACGCGTATCAAATCTTGATTTTTAACATCGTAAGCTACTTGGTGATGGTGGTAGGGGGTGCTCGCATGGACATATCCCTCCCAATTTTCAACTGAGAGAAGGCAGTCAGTTCACAATACTCGCCGTTAATCCTTGGGCTACCCTATTCGAAGAGTTGGATTTGACCTTTACTCTTATAACCAACCACGGTACGGATCGTGATTTTGTGACAACAGAACGTGGCCCATAAACCCTCGAGTCCATAGACTTTTCGCTTTACAGTGAATTGTATTTGGAGAAAAAATAGCATAGTAATCAACTACATTGATGAAAGCTACATTTATAGCAACAATAATACTTTATTCATAAAATAACCTGGGTCAGTTTGTTTGTAATTAAGCACAAAGCAACAAAATGGGCTATCTGTGCTTTGCCTATCACGGTATCGAAACCGGGTTTGTAGCGTTATGAGTCTTCAGACTTACCGCTGTACCACTGGGGAGAAAAAACTTGGACAGGAAGAGGCAGGTTATGTATATAGGCATCTTTAAAAAATACATATATGTAACACAAAGCGTATTGACTTCATATTTTGCCTCTATTATTATACATATATATGCTCTATAAACGTGCTCAATAGAAACGTATTCTCTGATTTCCTATCCGATGTGCGAGGGCAAATCTGCAACAGTTGTTATAAAGAGCGTAGGGCCTTCTCAATCCCTTGCTCTAAAAATAAACACATTCCACGCGCTTTCTCGAATAGAGCATGCCACGCTCGCGACTCCGCCCTACAAGATTAAAGTCACTTTCAACTGGAGTGTTAGCACAGTATCTACCTAATGAGGGATGTGCTCACACCAAGCTATCTCTTGTGTGGTGTCTGAAGTGTGGTTTCAGTGACGTAGTTTTGTTCCAAACTAGATAAAGGAACAATCAGTTATAAAAAAGCACGGCTCTTAGGAAGCCTCAATGTACTCCAATACACAGGAAACACACGTAAGTCCCATCATTCAACTGGACTTTAGAATGCTTTCATAATAAGGTAAGACGAGCTCTAACTGATCAATTCTTTAACATGTAATAGTTATATAGGTATACAGAAGTCTATCTGCTTGAGTGATAGTTTTCATCTTTCTATTGATTCACTTTTTAAAGTCATATAGATAAAATAACAATTAAATTAAAGTTTCGTACCTTGACTGTATGCACATTGTTATTTTTTTAGGTTTAATCTGTACAATCTTTTCCGGAGAGGCATTCCTTTTCATACATCCTTTGTGGAACACTACATAAGTTTAACAACCAGAGTAAACTGTTATTTCTCATGCCTCGATAAGGAAGTGTTGATTATAGACATGGTTAGGAAGTCTTCAGGGTCATAATTAGTACTGGTCCTACTCAAGAAAATATTCAGTGTCATAATTAGTACTGGTCCTACTCAAGGAAGTCTTCAGGGTCATAATTAGTACTGACCCTACTCAAGGAAGTCTTCAGGGTCATAATTAGTACTGGCCTTACTCAAGGAACTCTTCAAGGTCATAATTAGTACTGACTCTACTCAAGGAAGTCTTCGGGGTCATAATTAGTACTGGTCCTACTCAAGAAAATATTCAGTGTCATAATTAGTACTGGTCCTACTCAAGGAAGTCTTCAGGGTCATAATTAGTACTGGCCTTACTCAAGGAAGTATTCAGTGTCATAATTAGTACTGGTCCTACTCAAGGAAGTCTTCAGGTCATAATTAGTACTGGTCCTACTCAAGGAAGTATTCAGGGTCATAATTAGTACTGACCCTACTCAAGGAAGTCTTCGGAGTCATAATTAGTACTGAATACTTACTCAAGGAAGTATTCAGGGTCATAATTAGTACTGGTCCTACTCAAGAAAATATTCAGTGTCATAATTAGTACTGGTCCTACTAAAGAAAATATTCAGTGTCATAATTAGTACTGGTCCTACTCAAGGAAGTATTCAGGGTCATAATTAGTACTGGCCTTACTCAAGGAAGTATTCTGGATCATAATTAGTACTGACCCTCCTCAAGGAAGTCTTCAGGGTCATAATTAGTACTGGCCTTACTCAAGGAACTCTTCAAGGTCATAATTAGTACTGACCCTACTCAAGGAAGTCTTCAGGGTTATAATTAGTACTGACCTTACTCAAAGAAGTCTTCAGGGTCATAATTAGTACTGGCCTTACTCAAGGAAGTATTCAGGGTTATAACTAGTATTGGCCTTACTTAAGGAAGTATTCAGGGTCATAATTGGTACTGGCCCTACTTAAGGAAATCTTCAGGGTCATAATTAGTACTAATAGCTCTCGTGTAGCTTTGAGCGAAATTCCAAATAAACCAAACCCAAACCATCTATACACCAAACTAATATGAGTCTCACAAACTAACAAAATCGTGCTCCGAATTTTGAGTCCGTGGGTGCATTATAAGAGTCACAGTCAATGATGTAAGCAATCCCACTATTAACTTCTGGATCCTCTATGTATTTCACATATGAATGATTTTATTCATTTTAGGTAATTTCAGGGGCTCTGTTGTTGTATTGTTTCAAAAAAAAATTTCAGGTTTTATAAAAAAAGTCTTACATTTGTACAGATCCCTTTTGCTTTTTATGGCCCGAACAATGAAACTAAGGGATAACCACAGCATTACTTATGATGATTAGAGGGACGCTTGGTTTTATTGACAACGAAAATTTTGTTCTAAGGATAGATTGTCTTTTGGTGATGTTATATAAATTCACTTTTTAAAATATCTCAAACACTCCACACAAGAATGTTTATTACAAATTAAGAAACACTTTTGACCTGTATACATTTTCATAGTTAACAGCGTGTGCGCTTGTTATTTTTCGACTGTCAACTTTTCTTTGTAATAATTTACAATTGGAACAAATCAAAATGTGTATGAAGGTCCATTGGGTGTTATCAGCCAAAGTATATCGTTGATCCAGGAGAAAAAAAAAAAGCCAATCAAATACAATAAACTATCTGTGCTGTGTCCATCACAGGTATCAAAACCAGATTTTTAACGTTATAAGCCCTTAGACTTTACCCCTGAGCCACTCAGGGGTGGGGTGGGGGCATAATTTTTATTTAGAGAAGCATATTTGAGACTTTAGTACTGATACAACGCGTCCATTATACGTTCTGAATAGCAACGTGCGAACCACGTGCTTATCCTGATGTATTTTTTAATCAAGGCCTGCCAGAGTTTGTTAATCAACTTGTTTTTTTTTTAATGAGGGCCTGCCAGCGTTAGTTAATCAACTTGTTTTCGTTTTGTTTAATCAGGGCCTGCCAGTGTTAGTTGATCAACTTGTTTTTGTTATTTTAATCAGGGCCTGATAGTGTTAGTTGATCAACTTGTTTTGTTTTTTTAATCAGGGCCTGCCAGTTTTAGTGGGCCAGTTTTTTGTAAGCATCAGGTGTTAAGTATCAATTTACATATAATGGGTGTAAGTGCACAAATTATAAACCCTCAGGGATATTGCTTTGGCACCGGGATGGAGGGGTCACAAAAGCTCTTAAATACAGGCACATGCGATGTTGTAGCATACCACAAATAGTTTTAACTCAGGCAACAATACGATGTTGTCGTATTGTTGCCTGAGTTAAAACTATTTGTGGTATGCTACAACATCGTATTGTTGCCTGAGTTAAAACTATTTGTGGTATGCTACAACATCGTATTGTTGCCTGAGTTAAAACTATTTGTGGTATGCTACAACATCGTATTGTTGCCTGAGTTAAAACTATTTGTGGTATGCTACAACATCGTATTGTTGCCTGAGTTAAAACTATTTGTGGTATGCTACAACATTATATTGTTGCCTGAGTTAAAACTATTTGTGGTATGCTGCAACATTATATTGTTGCCTGAGTTAAAACTATTTGTGGTATGCTGTGTTGTAGCATACCACAAATAGTTTTAACTCAGGCAACAATACGATGTTGTAGCATACCACAAATAGTTTTAACTCAGGGAACAAATTATTTGTAACTCCGCGAACTGCTCTGATTTAGAGACTAATTTGAAAGACCAATTAACACAAAAAACTTTAAATTAAATGATCTGTCTTTGAGTACTTATAACATACACGAAACTCCTAATGTGTCAGCTTAGAAGGAATTGGAAAATCAATTACGAACTTTGAGACTCTAAAAAAAAACGCGTTATCTACGTGCCCAGGAAAAGACGTCATTAAATGTACTACTTACAAGTATTTAGCTATCGTAGAAGGCAGTGATTGGAATACAGAGGTAAAAGGTGACCGTACTAATAAAGGTAATATTTTATAAACTTATTTTTGATACTCTTACATGCGAGTTTTTAATCGATACTTAGATATGTAGTGACGTGACGTAAAATTTGATGTCGAATATAATTCGAATAATTTGTTAAGAAAACAATGTACGATCAAAGTTTGGCGTGTTATCATTTCTATTTACTAGCAAGAGAATCTGAGAAAGGTGAAGCTGAAAAGGTAAGTATACTAGTCATATGAAGACATCCATTTAATTAAGCTTTCAGTGAATTGAGCTAGTTCAGAGAGCCATTGTTTTATAGAGTTATTGTTTGATGTTGTTGTTGTATTATAGAGTCATTGTTTGATGTTGTTGTTGTATTATAGAGTCATTGTTTGATTTTGTTGTTGTCCAGTGCATGTACATCTAACATTCATTCTTTTAGCTTTATGTGTTTATAGTAACATAAATTATGAAATTACGAACCTAACTCCCTTCAACTTATTATATTACATTATTTGTTGTTTGTCACACCACTGTCCCTTCAACTTATTATATTACATTATTTGTTGTTTGTCACACCACTGTCCCTTCAACTTATTATATTACATTCTTTGTTGTTTGTCACACCACTGTCCCTTCAACTTATTATATTACATTCTTTGTTGTTTGTCACACAACTGCTGGATTAGCACCAACTTGCAGATTTTCCTATCTTCGTTTTTTACTAGAAGTATCCATCAGTTCATATTCTTTCTGCTACATCTCTTCTGTTTCACTATTTTCACCCACCAGATCGTTCTGATACATCTCTCCTGTTTCACTATTTTCACCCACCAGATCGTTCTGATACATCTCTCCTGTCTCACTATTTTCACCCACCAAATTTTTCTGCTACATCTCTCCAGTCTCACTATTTTCACCCATCAATTTTTTCTGCTACATCTCTCCTGTCTCACTATTTTCACCCACCAAATTTTTCTGCTACATCTCTCCTGTCTCACTATTTTCACCCATCAAATTTTTCTGCTACATTTTTCTTTTCTTACTATTTTCTCCCACCAGTTCTTTCTGCTACATCTTTCCCGTCTCAGTAATTTCACAAACCATATCTTTCTGCTACATCTCTCCTGTCTCAGTAATTTCACCCACCAGATCTTTCTGCTACATCTCTCCTGTCTCAGTAATTTCACCCACCATATCTTTCTGTTACATCTCTCCTGTCTCACTATTTTCATCAACCATATCTTTCTGTTACATCTCTCCTGTTTCAGTAATTTCACCCACCAGATCTTTCTGCTACATCTCTCCTGTCTCAGTAATTTCACCCACCAGATCTTTCTGTTACATCTCTCCTGTCTCAGTAATTTCACCCACCAGATCTTTCTGTTACATCTCTCCTGTCTCAGTAATTTCACCCACCAGATCTTTCTGTTACATCTCTCCTGTCTCAGTAATTTCACCCACCAGATCTTTCTGTTACATCTCTC